TATATATATATAGAAGAATCCACACATTATGCATGCATACATATAGGGAAATAATATTCTAGGAGAGATATGAAACGACTTATGATTTGCGAGAGGCGAAATTGTGTGTTCATTGCAAAGGAGGAGAAATTAACTCTTTAATTGATTATTTAATATGTCTATTAACTCTTTAATTGATTATTTAATTCCATGTCCTTAATTTGCTCCCATTAATGTAAAGATGAGGAGAAACACATTATTTATAATGTATGAATTGTGCAATTTAATGATATAAATATATATACAAATTATTCATTGCAAAGGAGGAAGCTTTCTTTTTCCCAATAATTAAAACACCCAACAAATGAAAGCTATAAAATATTTTATTTTGTAAGTTTCCCATTATTCATTATAAATAATATTAATGAATTATGCGAGAGGCGAAATTGTGTGTTCATCACAAAGCTACGTCGTCTAACACGTTGCAAACAAATGGTATTGCAATTACTTAATAATTTCCTTAATTATCCATCCACCGTCAGATATATCTAATGTGTTTTTCTCTTATATGTTGACTATCAATATGGGGAAAAAAAGATGAAAGATTCATGTTATATTCCATGTTGTAACGAAATAATTAAACAAACTCCGCGTTGATTAGATATGAGCACATATATTGTATTCAATTTCCTGAAACGTTTGGAATACAACACAATCAAATGGATTATAATATATTAAATTAATTTTTAGACCAAATTGCATCTGTCACAAAGATATGTGATAATTTCTCTAGTTACTATCCATCGTTTTCTCTTTTATATCCTCAACATATAAAAATAAATGAATAAGAAAAGAACAGATAATTAAACCCATCATTAAATTAAGGTGAAAATTCCAAAAAGGACATTGAAATTATGATTTGATAAATGCTAGGTTTGATTTGATTTGATATCGCCTTTATTTTGTTTTGTTCCAGACATGGTACTTAATTTTGTAGATGAATGTCCATGTACTTTTGCGGTATTTTTCATGAAACTTTGTTGGATAAATAATTATTTCCGTGGAGTCTGTTAATTTAATTATGCATGTCGCCAATCATCCACTAATAAGGGACGACGTTCAATTTTTTGACTTCATATATAGTTTAAAACATACACAGTTAAATGAACTCAGATTAATCGAAAAAGTCACATGAATATAGAAACTATGCAATATTTGGATCCAGGCTTGTAAAAACGACAATAACAAAATAAATAATTATTTATTGTCAAACGATGTTATTGTATAACCATAAATTTAATTAAGTAAATTATGCCATCCATTGTTTTCAACCCTGTTCCAAATTCAATTGAGGATTGGGATATTACATTATTCATATTTTATTAGACAAGAACTTTATTATTTAATATTTGGAATCCGATTCCGCGTTCATGAAAAATATTTTTGAAATACGGCTTGAAAGAAGATGTTACATACATATTACTCTAAAGAACTTAAGTTTATTATAATAAATGTTCTCCAATATCAAATTCATCTTATCATTTTTTTTTATTTTTTGCTTCTTGAATGTTCAAAAAACATGAAAATGTGAAATTTTTATAGCTAGTAACAGAACTTGTCATTTCACAAATGATTACTTGTTAAATTATCAATAGAGATTTGTTAATGAACTTTAATATTGTGTTATTTTTATAAATGTTTACTTTTTTATTATTAAAATTTTCCATGTGAAAAGCTTACATGAATTTATTATTTTGTTAAAATTTACTTTTAAGCTAGTAATGGGACATGTTATTTCACACATCATTACTTACTAAATTATTAATGGAGACTTGTTAAAAAAATTTAATATGGAGTGATTTTTATAAATGTTTACTTGTTTTTATTACCAAAATTTTACATGTTAAAAGTTTATATGAATTTGTTATTTTATTAAAATTTACTTATTAAAGTATTAGAAAAAAAATTTCAAAGCTAGTAACAAGACTTATCATTTTATAAATAGTTACTTGTTAAATTATTAATGGAAACTTGTTTGTCAAATTATCAAAAGAGATTTTCAAAACTAATAACATGACTTGTCATTTCTCGAATGATTATTTGTTAAATTATGAAAGAAAACTTGTCATTCCTTATAATAAAAATGAGTAATCATTTATACAAACCAGTGCATATAAACTTTTTTAACAAGTCCTATAATTTAACAAGTAACTATTTGTAAAATGATAAGTAATCATTAAGCTCCTAATAATTGGCATGAAAAGTGGAAACAAAGTTTTATAAAGATTTGCATTATAAAATTGAAAGTAATTTTTAGCCGATCTTGTTGATTCAAACCGCTTTGGCCAGCTTACAAAAAATTTAATTTGCCTCCCTCATAGCTCTGGTGGCCAGTCCGGCAGGGTGATCTGGTGACTGATCATAGTGAGGAAGTTTTTTTTTAAATGAGGGTTAGTTTTGTCTTTTCACACTAAGATTTAATTACATTTTGATCACTCTATCATGCAAAGTTAATTCAGAATTATTTAGTCCTTTTGTGTGAAAAAAATCCTCCAGAGGTCCTTCACTGTAATGCTCCCTAAAGAATCAGAGGAAGTACATGCGTTCCGCATAAATTTTGACAGAGGGAGGAAACAAAAAAAAAAAAAAAACCAATCTTCCTGTATTGGTTGTACACCAAAAAAAAAAGTTGCTTGATGATTAATTAGATGGTCAGATATTTAGGACCAGTTTGTTTTTTTTAATTTTTTTATTTTTGAAAACAAAAAAATTTAAATTTTTGCTTGGATAAGTGTTTTTCATTTAGGTGTTTTTAAAATTTTCATTTTTTGTTTTTTTTAAAATAGAAACAACTTTAAGTTGTTTTCATTTCATTTTTTTATTTTTAAAATACACTGCATTTTATTATTAAAAATTATAGTTACCATGATCAATTTCTATTCTTAATCACTACCATGAGCTATCACTATTAGTTTATTTTTTAATTCTAAAATTGTTTTTAAATTGATACAACCAAACAGATTTTTATTTTATTTTATTTTACAAACAATTTTGAAAACTGTGTTATAAAACAATTTTTAAGAACAACAAATAAGAATAGAAACTAAACAGGCCCTTCATGATTGATTCATGCTCTACGTTTTGAAAGAAGGAAATTACAGGAAAAGTAGCTAGTTAAGGAAATTTAAATATATGTAGGGACGGTGGGAGTATAATACCTCCATTTCAGATTATATGGCACTTTTAAATAAGCTTTTCTATCTCAAAATATAAGACATTTTAAGTAGATTAAAATTTCATTAAATGCACCAATTCTGTTATTATCTTCTCTCTCTCTACAATTAATTTTTATTTATTCTCTTTTCAATATATTAAATGATGGATATTTTTATATTTTGTTTTGGAAAGATAATGTTGTTAAGTGTATTTAATATGGTTTATTAATATGAAAAATTTTGTTTAAAAGTATCTTATAATTTGAGACGGAAGGAGTACATGTTACCTGCTAAGCAAGAATTAAAAGCTTTTGCATTTTGGCTTTATTTTTAGTATTGAAGAATTTTATCGTAAGAAAGAAACGGCGCAGAACATTTGTTTAATTTTTCTCTGTTCCATTTTATTAAATAATCCTAAATCTTGTTACTCTAAATCCACACGACAAATGTTCAAACTCGTTAATATAATTAGTCTATTAACCTGTATGTATCGTGCGTAATATTCGTCTTATTCTTCTTTCAATATTCTGCTGATTCCCAATTTCATTTTGATGTTTCATTTTCACGTAGATTGTAGTGAAGTCCCAGAGATATTGAAGTAGAATCCACACATTATACATACATACATATAGGGAAATAATATTCTAGAAGAGATATGAAACAATATATGATTTGCGTCTAGGTTTGATTTGATTGTTTAATTTCTTGTCCTTAATTTGCTCCCGTTAATGTAAAGATGAGGAGAAACACATTATTTATAATGTATGAATTGTGCAATTTAATGACAGAAATATATATACAAATTATTCATTGCAAAGGAGGAAGCTTTCTAAATCCATTTAATTATTGTGAACCCTATGTTAGCTTCAAATGAGCTTCATTGCTGTAACTTTATGATATCAACAGCATATAAACTTCCACCACCTTGTGGCTAGGTGATAATATAGCAATTTCAAAGTTTTCTTTTGGTCAGCTGACTCAGTGATATGAGAAACTTCCATCTTTTTTTTTTTGGACAAAAGAAACTTTCATCAAACTGTTAGGAGATTAAATTTGCAATAATTTGTTTTACATATTCAAACATCCAAAAAGTTCTTTTTGCCAATAATTAAAAACACCCAAAAAAAGAAAACTATAAAATACTTTATTTTGTAAGTTTCCCATTATTCATTATAAATAATATTAATTAATTATGCGAGAGGCGAAATTGTGTGTTTATCACAAAGCTACGGCCTCTAACACATTACAACAAATGGCATTGTAATTACTTAATAATTTCCTTAATTATCCATCCACCGTCAGATGTATATAATGTGTTCATCTCTTATATGTTGACTATCAATATGGGGGGAAAAGGATGGAAGATTGAGGTTATATTCCATGTTGTAACGAAATAATTAAACAAACTCCGCGTTGATTAGATATGAGCACATATATTGATTTCAACATTCAAACCTCCCTATGAAATGTCAAGAATTAAGCCTTTTCTTTTCCTGCTCGATTCGTTTGGGTAAAATACAAAGTCCTTTTGATGTAATAAAAAACAGTAAGGCCGTGCAGATACGTGCGCGTGTGAGGAATTATCTAGTAGTACGTTAACAAATGACTTGCTTGTGACCCCAGGCTGCACGCTGCGTTTTCAAAGTTCAATATAATTCCCTCGCACGTTCAGAGTGAAAATTTCCTTAACAATCACTTGGTAATTACTTGAACCAATGCAAATCACCATACAATACCTTGAGATTAGCTTAGTATAAATATACATGAATCTAGTTCTTCCAGCTTCACAGCAAACCCTACCTCGATCTCTCGTTATCAAATCATAAGCCATCTTCTCTCTGCTTAATTAACCGAACCCTAACTTTTGAAGAAGGTGCAGCATGCAGGGTCCTACAGGCGACGCTAATACTCAGCCCAATATCAGGCCTCCCACACCAATTACTAACATTCAGGCTGTTGCATGCCCTACCACTGGGCCATCTTCGCAGACTCAAAGCCCCGATAATACCAAGCCTTCCACACCAGTGCCTCACCAGAAGGGGGTCTTTTCCCCCAGGCAACCATAGTGACGTACTCGTCTCATTTCATTTATTCATTTTCTGCTTACTATATATGCATTTACTCCTTTCTTTTATACTTATCAATCATTTTTCATTTCATTATGTCTTGTTTAAAGAAACTTTGTTATATATTAAGTTCTTGCCTCAATTTTGCCATTTGCTTCTTAATTTAATTTGAACGTCACGCATGAAAATGAGTTTTCTTGAAACAAGTCATTAATGTATATAGTACATATATTTGTAATTAACTTTCTAGCTTTTTAGGTTCTCGCGTCCTTCTTGTAATGTAATCTTGGTCCAGATTATTATGAAGACATCCTAATTAGCGCTTGACCTGTTGAAACAGTAGTCTTGTTCTTCTTATTTATGTTTTAATATCTCGTTTGAAGAATCTCATTTTTTGGTTTTCATTTTCCACCAGATCGGTGACATGTGAAATGGCTTGATCAAGAATAATGGAAGCAAAATATATATTACAAGGCAGTTACACGTACACACAGTCGCGCACACATGTTCCGTCGTCATATATACTATCAACAAAATTGTTTATTTTTTTTCTTTTTGGTTTGTTTGTTTTGCCTCTAGGCTTGATTTGTTGTTCTTGTTTGCTTCCACAAATACAGCGTTAGTTATGTATTCTTTTCAAAGTAGCTTTCATTTGCAACCTTTCTGTTTGATGTCTCGTGTCATCTTGGCAATAATAATGGAAAGTCAAGTGTCTGTTCTGAATAGTCTAACCTTCGTACATTTCTGCACTTTTGGGTTTTGACATTTACGTACGATATTACTCTTGGAACCATTTTTATTAAAATTTAAAAATGTGCCACGTAATTTTATTTAAATTTCGTGAATCTACGCCAAGTGATCCCACTGTGAAACTAATTAATTTATTTACAAAATGGGCAATCATTACATCTTTTGCATTTGGGGTGTTTAACTATATTTAATAATAAATATTTTTTATATTAATTTTTTAATTTATCTTTCCATAAAATAAATAGTAAATAATTTTGTTCACAATATGCAAACTTGGAGCTTACCTTATAATGAACAACTTAATTTCATCCGTAATCTATGAGATGCCGATGGATCCTCTATGACTGATAGTATTCAAATTCATTTAACTCTTTCACTTTAGAAAAATTGGAAAATATTTGAATAAAATATATTGGCCCTTATAAATTTCAATTCCTCGTCTTTGCACTTTTCAGAGTCGATTGATTTTATATTGGCTCTGTGTTCCCGCCGACATGTATAGAATCAATTGGTTTTGTATTAACAAAGGTGGCTTCATTTCTTGTCCTTTTTCAGCAGATGATGTCGGTCCATGTCTGTCTTTTATGTCACATCTGAAAAGTGACATTACGTTTGTCATTAATAATATTAAATTATTAATGTTTAAAATATAAAGTATTTATAACTGAATCTCATCCCGAATGAATTAATTACTTATTTTTAAATTAATTTTATCTTTCTATATTTATTTCTGGCTATAAACACCCTAAAATAAATATAAAATAATTTATTCAATAGAAATATCTAGAAAAAATAATTATTACACCTCAAAAGATTAAAAATATTTTATATTTTTTAATAAAAAATATATATATATTAACTATATGGTATGACCTTAAAAAAAGAAGAAGAAAGATTAACCCATCATGGTAATAAATAAAATAACCGTTGATAATTTCTTTCAATTCCAGTTGGCAATTAATGAACCACACAATGCATTTGATTTTTTTTTAGTATTTAAAATCAAAATTATATTTGATCATGCCAGGCGAAGCTGAGCTTAATTGTGAAGTTTTTGACGACGCCCAAAACGTACGTATAAGAGAATCTTTACGAGGAAGCTGCAGTTGAGTTTGAATAAAATAGCCCCAATTTCACCAACAAATTCTAGGAAGCCTTTTCTAGTAAATTAAAAAAATCTGGGAGAAAGCTAGTGATCATGACATGATTAGATATTTTGGACAGGACTTTCAATATTTAATTTATTCATCCATATTACTATAATTGTTTCTGTGACGCGTTCTTTTTTTTCTTTTTATAAATATTCTTTGACGTGTTCTATTAATTAACTTGATATTCAATTCCAAATAAAATCATTTTTCACTAATAATACCACAAGTTTATAATGAATTTGCTGTGTATATATTCAGTCAGACATATGCATGTTTGAAAATTAACTACTAGCTGCCAATTCATGTAAAAATTACTCCCCCTCCATTAAAAAATATAAGTGTTTTTAGTTTCAACATGTAATTAATAAGTTATACTTTAATAAATAAATCATCTAACACTTCACAAACACTTCACTTTAAATTAAACACACTATTAAATAAAGATAAATGTTAAAAAATGTTATCAGCTTAAAGACAATTAAGTAATTTATTAGGTTATAATTTGGTTAAAATGTCTTGTATATTTTTGTAACGAATAGAGGATAATATTTATCTTATGAAAAAGAGAAGAAAAAACAAGCAGATTAGGCCAGCAAATCAACGTGGAAATTCCACCACATAATCGGTGAGATGATATGTAAATTTTATTTTGTTGGTCCTTCTGGTACAGAAAACTCAATGAAAATTAAAGGACATTAGACAGATATATACATACACTTTTCTATTTGACCGAAGAAAATATAAATGAGAGAGATAGGTCAATGCTGTGAGAACTTCGACAAACTGTTAGGAAATCTCTCATAATTTGATTTATTCAATAACTACCCAAAAAACATTAATTATGTTTCTTTGTTATCCTTCCGTTGATTTACTTTCTGTCAAGATCAAGCTAAAACGTGTCAATTTTTCTTTTTTAAAAAAATGTTCTAATGGCAATGTTTGAATTTCTATCCATTGATCAATGTATAATTAATAGTAAACATGTATAGAGTCTAATAAATATAAATCAAACATAAAGGATGGAATGGAAGGAGAAATAGCTCACGGCTTTGAAGTCATACAACACGGTATAGAGACACATGAATTGTGTCTATCTCATTTAAATGAAAACTCGCTACATTTTTCCAAGTTTTTTCTACCTTCCAAGTGTTATATTAATTAGAAATTAAACTAATACTCCAGAATATGTCTGTGTAAATGACTTCCTTAGCATTCACGCAAGTTCGTAATCCCTATATAAATATGGCATCGTAATTACTTAAATAATTTCCCTAATATAATCATCCATCCACCGTCAGACATATGTATAATACAATGCGTTTATCTCTTATACGCTGACCATTGATGAATATGGGGAAAAAAGATAAAAAATTGAGGTTCTTTCATGTTGGAATCAAATAAACTGTGTTGATTGATTAGATAATGCAACTGTTGGTGGTTCCAACAGGCATATCTATCCTATAAAAAAAAAAAAAAAACAAGTTCGCATATTCCCGATCCCATGACCCATCTAAATTAAGATGTCAAAAACACCCCTCATATCTGACGGCAATTATGGGAACAAAAATGGAATTTGAAACATCAACGTTAATGCGGTGGGAAACATGCAGAAAGGTTCCTGAATCGTGTATTCAAAGTCCAATTAATATGTATATTTGAAGAATTTTTTCAGAAATTAAATGATAATTAAGGTATATCAACAGAGTTAAAATTAATTAAATGTGTAATAAGAAGCAGAAAACATATATATATATATATATATAGGTTAAAATATATTTTTAGTCCTCTAACTTTATATATAGTTTCAATTTGTTATTTTAATTTTATAAAGTATTTTTTTTAATCCTTTAATCCTAACATTGTTATTTTAATCCTAACACCCCCCCCACACACCCCCTTCTCTCTTGTACCTTGTGTATACAGGGTATAACCTGTGTCTGGTTCTTCAATCTAGCTTCACACCAAACACTATCTGCGTCTGATTAATCCGTGAAACCATTAGTAGTCTCGGAGAAGAAGAAGAATGAGTTCATCGTCAAGCATAAACATCCAGAATGTTCTATGCCCTACAACTAGGCCCCCTTCTCAGACTAATCAGCCATCTAAACCTCCAGACCTTCCACTCGAATGCCAACTGCCCCCAATATCTTTTCCAGGAGACGTTGATCATGCCTTCATTATCTAATCTTCAGGTTAATGTTGCTCTCTCTCATGTTTGATCAGTCTTTATACGTACATGCATGAAAAATCATTTATATATATTGCAGGCTATTACTATAATGCTTTGCGTCGGATCTTCTGAGCAACTTTCTAATTTTAGCTATTAGGTTTTTAACTAACCATCAGCTTCCTAATATTTTCAATATTGAAGAATTTTATAAAGAATACTTAAACAACTTTATCAAGTCATCTCCTCGTTTTTATCATGTGATCTTACTGCCAATTTATACGAAATGGTATGAAACTATATCTGATCTCTCACTTACTTAGCTTCTATATATTTTTCATGCAGATTGTGATGAAGGGCCCGGTGATATTGAAGATAAAGAACAGAAACAAAGTTTTAGGACATCAATATGTATAAAACACACGCGCACACACACATCATGCATTTATTCATTTTTATGTTTGTTTACTTTGTTTGTTTGATGTTTTGCGTCTTGGAATGATTTGTACATTCTAGCTTCTTGGTTGGCTTGACTTGTTTTTCAATTTGTTCTATAGCCCTTTCATGACCTTCATATAATTGTCACGAGTTATACATCGGGAAGACTCACAAGTGGTGTGGGATTTATAAGTTTAAGGGGCTCTCCCACCCAACAAACTAATCTTTTGGAATGACCTCTCTCTTTAGGCTTGTGCTCGTCACATTGTGAGACTCTCGAATGTGGGACTCATGATAGTAATCATTAGAATAAGACCAAATTCCCTGAAAAGTATAACCGTACGTCATGCATGTCCTCCACCATCAACAATGTTATTCTTTTTTGACATTTACGTACGTAGGCTGGGATACTCTAATCTTGATATCTTTGAATTTTTGTCAAGTTTTTTTAAAATAAAATATAAAATCTTCTCTTAAGATTTAAATGCTATGTTTTGCATTTTGGGTGTGTTTAATAGCTATATAATTGTATTTATTATGATATATATTAGGTTTTAATTTATCTTTCCATAAAAATAAAGTATTTTCTCCGCAAGCAAATAAACTTTGGGTAGTGATGGCAAAAACAAAAAAACAAAAAACAAAAAACAAAAGGAAAAAAAACTTTGGGTCGACCTAATTAACTATTTCTACAAGACATCAATTTGGATTTGGGTTTGGTGACCTATATCAACTGAACTATTAAAATTCAAATCAATGGTTGTAAATTTATACTCCATTTAAGATTAATAAATTAGTAAATTTATCTTAATCGTTGATCTGAATTTCAATGATTTAGATGATACAGGCATTCAATGCCTTTATTAAGTACAGCTACCAAATCCAAATACTCATCAATCCTCCCTAAATTTTGATTTAGAAAATTTGGAGAGCAAGCTAAGGGGCAAGTTAAGGGCAATTGTTTTAAAGCCAACACGTACGGTCCCCAACAATTTGAATAATAAATTATCTCAAGCATGTCACTGGTGTATCAACACAAAAGCTTGGAGTGACCTATCTACATATTAATTACCAAAAAAACATGTTGGGAAATTCACAGAACAATAATGATATGGCCAGCTAATTAAATTCACGCTTACTTGCATCACATTAATCTACCCCTTTCAAGTGCCTTATAAAAAGAACCGGAGAAAATATATGTGTATGCATAAATTTTGATAAAAGAGGAAGAAAACAAAAGAATAACCAATCTTCCGGTATTGGTTATACACAAAAAATAAAAAAAAATGTTGCTTCATGGTTAATTAGATGATCAGATATCTTAATGATTGATTCATGCTCTAAGTTTTGAGAGAAGGAAATTACATGGAAAGTAGCTAATTAAGGAAATTTGCTGAGAAATTAACGTTCATAATATCATGCCCCCTCTTATTCCTTGTATAAGGTATTTCAAACATTTTTCCAGATTAAAAAAAATTGTTAGATTTCTTTATTTGTTAAAAGCATCTCAATATTCCAATTATACGCTTATTAATTAAAAGGAGCCTTATCAAATCTTGCGCAAATTACAAGAAAACTGTTAAAATTATGAGGATGAACATAGAATACTATTTAATATTTTTGACATCTTATAATTTGGATTAACTTTTATTTTTAAAAAAGCATCTTATATACAGCGTGGTGAAGATATATATGGGCCTTAATTACACATTAATTATATTAATCCTGTTTTGTTAGGAGTTTATAATTTAATTTCGTCGAACATTCTTCAAATGCATGAACTCTGAATACGTATGTCATCACCATTCATTCAGGGATAGTTCTGAATCAATTCAAAGCCGTGCTATTCACGCTTAAAATGCAAAAATGAATTATATATTTGTTGTTATTAATGATTGGGAAAATTTAATTAAGAATTGCTGGCAAGGGAAAGAATTTGACAAGTTTCAGCTCTAAATGGACAAAATAAAAATATAAGGAAGCTAAACGTACAAAACAATATATATATATATATATATATTTTATTTATTTATTTAAAATTGAGATTTATTCAACTTTCAAATAGAAAAACTAATTTTACAATATTGATGTGAAGTTTCAGTTCATTATCCTAATACGCTGTACATTTGTCAAGGAATCCACTTGAATATTTAAATAAAGCAGCTTAAATTTCACCTATAAAAGCAATGAAGCATCTTGCGAGGTGTAATTCAATACCACAAAAACAATAATTCAGAAATTTGATTTAAATTGCCAATAAAGAGTCAAAGATTGAGGTTGAATTTCACGTTAAACGAAATAAATTAATTCCGTGTAATGGGAGAGAATATGAAACAGAAGAACGAAGTCAATTTGGTTAAAATATGACGAGTCAAACATGGAGATGGATTGATGAACCAGAATGGACGAAAGGATTAATTAATTTAAACTAGAGGAAAAAAAGGAAAACAATATATATTCTTATGGTGTTAAATGCTTTGGTGATTTAAACTAGGGAAAAAAAGAAAAATAATACATATTCTTATGGAAATGAAAACTTTATTGATATGCCAATTTTTTCTAAAAATTACTTATATTTTGAACCGAAGCGAGTACTTTGTTATTGTGGTCTAAAAGGTTAAGTTGAAAAATTTTTCAAATTAACGTTAAAGGTATTTAATTTGTGAGAGCAAAAGGAAAAGAGCTAATAATTAATCGCATCCGATGAATTAATTGCAGTATGAACAAATTTGAAGATGAAGCGGTCAGACACGTTAATTTATGGCGTTTTCAATGTTCAAGCCTTGGGATTAAAGTTCATTCGGGCACGGGAGTTTAACGCGTTAAACTTTTTTTTTTTTTTAAAAAAAGAATTTACGCTTTAAGCTTTTCTTTTCTTTTTTCCGGGGCAAAATACTAATTAAGACTTTCTATATACTCGCTCCGTCCCAAATAATATAACGTTTTTGGAGAAGTTTCTCTATCCTAAAATATAAAACATTTTAAATAGGCTAAAGTTTTATTAAATACAACGATTTTAATATTATCCTTTCTCTCTCAATAATTAATTTGTGTCTCTTCTCTTTTTAATATATTAAATGATGGGTATTTTTAAAAGCTTATATTTTTTTTGAAAAGATAAAGTTGTTAAATATATTTACTGAGGTTTTATTGGTAAATGATATTTTGTCTAAAAATATTTTATAATTTGGAATGGTAGGGATATTATAGTAAAGTGATAATTAATGAAATTAACTGACTTATTACTTTCATCCCTATATATAAGAGGTCTTTAGATTTTTCAAGAAAAGAACTTCAAAAACCAAGAGATCAAATAGATATTTCATCTGTGGACAGATGGGACACTTTGCAAAAAGATGTCCCAACAAATTCAAGAAAGATATGAAGTTATTAAAATCTTGAGACTGTCATTCCTCTTGATGATGATCAGGATGTTGAATTTGTTCTTGAAGAACTGTCCAAGTTGCCACAATCTTGCTTTGAGATTAAATTTTGAGAATATCTTGGCTTGCTTCAAATGTACTATATAGGTGTTAATTTTGGGCAGAGGAAATTTGTCATCTTGAAGAAAAGCATGAAGATGTGTATAATCAATTACCATCCTCTTTGTCCCTCTTCATTTTTCAAATCTTTTTTCTACATAAAAGGCTTGGCAAGCCCGGCCAATCTGACTTTATGGGCTCAATAAGACTTTGTTTGAGTAGAGCTGCACATTTTTCTCTGGCCAAAGCAAGATCTTTTGGATTCATTCCTGGATGAGATGCTTTTCTTGGGTTGATATCTTCATTTTTCTTAAAAGGGAGTTTAATGAAAAACTCCTTGTTTTTTCATAAAGGAAATGAATCCTAAAATTATATTTTTTAATAAATGGACCATTATATCTTTATTAAATTAGAATGAAAAAAAGATAAGTACTTTTATTAATTTACTTTGAAAAAAATTATTTTTTATTTACAATCATTAGGGGCAATATTAAAATATTGCTGTGCTTTTAATTAGATGATCAACTTTAATATTTTTTACGTAATTTTGTTAAAAACATCTTATATATAGGGATGGAGGGAGTAGGTTTCTTTGGCTAAAAAGAAAAAAGCTCTCTTAATTACTTGAGTGGACCCAATAATGCTATGCTGCATTTTCAAGTGTGTGTATATGATTCCAATGTATATAATATACTCCTCTGATCTTATTTATAAGGCGGAAAGAGAAGGAAAATTTTGATTTTATTTATATGGTACTTGCTAATTTCCAATGCTCCTCTTTACATTTTTGCCTTTATTGAATGCTTTGAATAAAAATACCATTAATAAGATTTAAGAACATTTTTTAGGGGTAAAGGTGAAAATTTATTAAATTTTTAAATAAAGTTGATGAAATTTAAAGTTTTTCTAGTGAAATATACTAAAAGTGATTTATAAATAGGATTAGAGGGAGTAATTAATACCCCCCTCTAATTCTAGTATTTATAAGGTAGAGAGAGATTTTTTTTATCTTATTTATAAATCATGCCGTTACATTTTTATTGGAAATTGTTTCTGTGACCTCTATTAAATAATGTTTGTAAGAAAAAAGTACCACTCTAGTTCATATTATAAGATAATTAATTACTCATAGGTCCATTAACAACTAAGCTTATGACAACATAATGAACCTTGAAGTAATTAATTGTCTTGAGTAGGATTTAAATGTAATTCTCCTTAATTAGCTAGCACTGAGATGTTGTATATACATGGTCAATATATGCATAGTTACTTACGTGGATATATCATGGATATCACATACATGAGCATTATTTTATGCATCAGACTAATTAATTACACTATCTATGTTTTGCGTGTGTTTCAATATGACGTGACTACTGGTGTGAAGGTTTGAAGTGGTCATACACGGTGAGAAGATATATGCTCAAGACCTCCCACATTCATAATCTTAATCTCATTTGATTTCAACGTTCAAACCTCCCTATGAAATGTCAAGAATTAAGCCTTTTCTTTTCCTGCTCGATTCGTTTGGGTAAAATACGAAGTCTTTTTGATGTAATAAAAAATTACTAAGGCGGTGTATATACGCGCGTGTGTGAAGAGTCATCAAGTCAGTTAATAAATGACTTGCCTGTGGCCGTAGGCTACACGCTGCGTTTTCAAAGTTCAATAGAATTCCATCGCAAGTTCAGAGTGTATTTCCTTAACAATCACTTGGTAATTACTTGAACCAATTTGCATCACCATACAGTACCTTGAGATTAGCAATATAAATATACGCGAATCTGATTCCTCCAGCTTCACAACAAACCCTACCTCGATCTCTCGTTATCAAATCATAAGCCATCTTTTCTCTACTTAATTAACAAAACCCTACGTCTTGAAGAAGGTGCAGCATGCCGAGTCCTTCACGCGACACTAATACTCAGCCTAATGCTAAGGGAGTCTTTTCCACTAGCAGGCCCCCTCCTCAGACTCAAAGCCCCAATATCAGGCGTCCCACAACAATCCCTAAAACCAAGGGTGTCTTTTCCCGCAGTCGTTGACGGTGATGTACTCGTCTCATTTCATCTATTCATTTTTTGCTTACTATATATACATTTACTCCTTTCTTTTATACTTATCAATCATTTCTCATTTCATTTTGTCTTGTTCTAAGATACTTTGTTATACATTAAGTTCTTGCCTCAATTTTGTTATTTGCTTCTTAATTTAATTTGAACGTCACGCACGAAAATGAGTTTTCTTCAAACAAGTCATTGATATATATACATATATAGTGCCTATATTTTTAATAAACTTTTTGGCTTTTCAGGTTCTTGCGTCCTTCTCCTAATTAGCGCTTGTCTTGATGAAACAGTAGTCATGTTCTTCTTATTTATGTTTTAATGTCTCGTTTGAAGAATCTCATTTTTGGTTTTCATTTTCCAGCAGATCGTGAAGCATGTGAAATGGCTTGATCAAGAATAATGGAAGCAAATTATATATTACAAGGCAATTACACACACGCACAGTCGCACGCACATATGTTCTGTCCTCATATATGCTATCAACAATTATTTATTTTTTTCTTTTTGGTTTGTTTGTTTTGCCTCTAGGCTTGATTTGTTGTTCTTGTTTGCTTCCACAAATACAGCGTTAGTTATATATTCTTTTCAAAGTAGCTTTCATTTGTGACCTTTCTGTTTGATGTCTCGTGTCATCTTGGCAATAATAATAGAAAGTCAAGTGACTGTTCTGAATAGTCTAACCTTCGTACATTTCTGCACTTTTGGGTTTTGACATTTAAGTATGATATTACTCTTAGAACCATTGTTATTAAAATTTAAAAATGTGCCACGTAATTTTATTTAAATTTCGTGAAATCTAAGCCAAGTGATCCCGCTGTGAAACTAATTAATTTATTTACAAAATTATATTATACTTGTTTTATATATTATATTCTAATTAGTTGTAATAATATGGTATATTAATATTGCTCCTCAAATTAAAGTACGTAAATTTAGATTTTAGTATCTTATTAATTTTTGAATTTTCAACCACATATGTGCATATATTGTACGTTAAATAATAAAATAGATGTCTAATTGACAAAATCTCCATTTTGGGGTCCTCAAAATTGACGTACTTTTCCAATATTAATTAATTGTTTAGATTTGGAAAACCTCTGCTTTAGGGTCCCAAAACAAAGGCCAAACGCATGGGCAATCATTATATTTTTTTTTTTACATTTGGGGTGTTTAACTATATTTAATAATAAATATTTTTGAGATTAATTTTTTAATTTATCTTTCCATAAAAATAAATAGTAAATAATTTTGTTCACAATAAGCAAACTTTGAGCTTACGTTATAATCAACAACTTAATTTCATCCGTAATCTACGAGATACCGATGGATCCTTTATGACTGATAGTATTCAAATTTATTTAACTCTTTCACTTTAGAAAAATTGGAAAATTTTGCATAAAATATATTGGCCCTTATAGATTTCAATTCCTCGTCTTTGCGCTTTTCAGAATCGATTGATTTTATATTGGCCCTGTGTTCTCGCATACATGTATAGAATCAATTGATTTTGTATTAACATAGGTGGCTTCATTTCTTGTCCTTTGTCAGCAGATGATGTTTGTCCATGTCTGTCTTTTATGTGACATTTGAAAAGTGACATTACGTAAGCCATTAATAACATTAAATTATTAATATTTAAAATATAATATATTTTTAATCAAATTTTATTTTCAATAAATTAATTTTTTATTTTAAAATTAATTTTACCTTTTTATATTTATTCTTGACTATAAACACTTTAAAATAAATATAAAATAATTTATTTAATAAAAATATTTTTTTAAAAAAATAATTACTACATCTTAAAAAATTAAAAATGTTTTATATTTTTTTAATAAAAATATATATATATTGACTATATAGAATGATTTAAAAAAAAAAGATTAATCCATCAGGATAACAAATGAAATAACAGTTGATAATTTCTTTCAATTCCAGTTGGCAATTAATTAATCAGACAATATATTTGATTTTTTTAGTATTTAAAATTAAAATTATATTTGATCATGCCGGGCGGAGCTTAGCTTAATTGTGAAGTTTTTGACAACTCCCAGAACGTACGTATAAGAGAATCTTTTCCGGGAAGCTGCAGTTGACTTTGAATAAAAATCAGGGAGAAAGCTAGTGATCATGACATGATAAGATATTTCGGACAGGACTTTCAATCTTTTTTTTTTCTTTTTTATAGATATTCTTTGACGTGTTCTATTAATTAAGTTGACATTCGATTCCGAATAAAATCATTTTTCACTACTAATAGCACAAGTTTATAATGAATTTGCTGTGTATATATTCAATCAGACATATGCGTGTTTGAAAATTAACTACTAGCAACCACTTCATGTAAAAATTACTCCTTCTTCATTAAAAAATATAAGTATTTTTAGTTTCAACATGTAATTAATAAGTTATACTTTAATAAATAAATCATCTAACACTTCACTTTAAATTAAACACACTATTAAATAAAGATCGATAAATGTGAAAAAATGTTATCAGCTTAAAAAAAATTAATTAATTTATTGGATTATGATTTGGTTAAAATTTCTTATATATTTTTGTAATGAATCGCATATAATATTCATCTTATAAAAAAAAGAAGAAAAACCAAGCAGATTAGGCCAGCAAATTAACGTGGAAATTCCACCACATAATCGGTGAGATGATATGAAAATTTTATTTTGTTGAGTCCTTCTGGTACAGAAAATTCTATGAAAATTAAAGGATATTAGACAGATATATTTATATGCATACACTTTTCTATTTGATCGAAGAAAATGTAAATGAGAGAGATAGGTCAATGCTGTGAGAACTTCGACAAACTGTCAGGAAATCTCTCGTAATTTGATTTATTCAACTTAACTACCCAAAAAAAAACCTTGATTATGTTTCTTTGTTATCCTTCCGTTGATTTTCTTTCTGTCAAGATCGAGCTAAAACGTGTCAATTTTTATTTTTAGAAAAATGTACTAATGGCAATGTTTAAATTTCTATCCATTGATCAATGTATAATTAATAGTAAAAACTAGTGTGGGTCCTATATATGCATTGTATAGGTCTAATAAATATAAACCAAACATAAAGGATGGAATGGAAGGAGAAATAGCTCACGGCTTTGAAGTCATACAACACGGTATAGACACACATTAATTGTGTCTATCTCCTTTAAATGAAAACTCGCTACATTTTCCAAGTATTTTCTACCTTCCAAGTGTTATATTAATTAGAGATTAAACTAATACACAAATTAAAGTTCCAGAATATTTCTCTGTAAATGACTTCCTTAACATTCACGCAAGTTCGTAATTCCTATATAAATATGGCATCGTAGTTACTTAAATAATTTCCCTAGTATAATCATCCATTCACCGTCAGACATATGTATAATATAATGCGTTTATCTCTTATATGCCGACCATTGATGAATATGGGGAAAAAAGATGAAAAGTTGAGGTTCTTTCATGCTGGAATCAAATAAACCGCGTTGATTGATTAGATAACGCAACTGTTGGTGTTTCCAATAGGCAAATCTATCCTACGAAAAAAAAAAAACAAAAACAAGGGCATATATTCCGAATCCCATGACCCATCTAAATTAAGATGTCAAAAACACCCATCATATCAGACGGCAATTATGGGAACAAAAGTGGAATTTGAAACACCAACGTTAATAAGTCCGTCCCAAATTATATAATATTTTTAAAAGAATTTCTCCATCTCAAAATATAAGACACTTTGGATATATTAAAGTTTCATTAAATACAATAATTTTAATATCATGCTTTCTCTCTCTATAATTAATTTTCATCTTTTTTATTTTTAATATATTAAATGATGGGTATTTTTTAAAAAGATAAAGTTATTAAATATATTTAATGAGATTTATTGATATGTAAAATTTTATCTAAAAACATTTTATAATTTAAAACGGGACATTTGAAGAGGTGTTTGGTCAAACTATGAAAAGAGCCCTCCACGGATATGACGGCGGAACAAAACCCAAGGTGGGGGCAAAATGGGACATTCGCAAAACAATGCCATGCAGCAAATATTACACGCAAGAAATAGAATGGAGGGGTTGACAGTTCACACTCTACGTTCCTCAAAGTTATATATCGCCATGGCTCCAAATAAACTGAAATGTAATTACACTTGACCGCCAGCGCATCACACCATCGGCAATCACCCACACGGCTTTAACACTCTCTCTCTTAGTTTAACCGGTCATCTGCTTGAGCCTTGAACTTATTCAGAACTTTCTCTGTAATTTTCTCTTCATTTCTATTAATTATAATCAATTCAACAATCTCTTATCACTTGATTCCGTGTTGAGCCATCTTATAGCCTATCTACTCGTTGCTTCTCTCCATAAATACAATACCTGTATCGGATTATATTCCTCATCGAGCTTCTTCATCTACAGCAAACCCTACCTCTGTCTGTGACGATCGATCAACGTTAATTGTGAGAACCTTGGATTAATTGTGAGAAGAAATATGAGTTCTGCAAGTAACAACATCCAGAGCATTATTTGCCCTACCACTAGGCCTCCTCCAAGGACTCAGGACTCTAGTAACTCGACAAGATCTGGCACTCATATCTCGACTTCCAAGGATCACTTTTCCAAGAGTCGATGATGACTCTTTTCATTCCGCTCCTTTCCCCAGGTCAATATTTACTTCCATTTTGATCTGATATTCATTGTCATGAGTTCCACATGTTAGGGAGTGATCTGGGGTTTATAAGTTTAAGAAATTCTCCCACCTAACAAGGTAATCTTTCAGATTGATTTTCAAATTAGAGATATAGATTTATGGTCGCAAAATTCATCTGCTTGAGTTGGGCCGGGCAATGTTGTTTTTACGTGATTATGTCCATCACCAGGCACAGAAGCAGTACTTTGTGCACATGATTTCAATTTAGATTTCATTTTCATGCAGATTCATGAAGCGTACGTTCGTCGTTGGAAATGGAGTTAAGTGGTTCGATGTAAAGGAGAAATGATTAATGGATGTCGTTGCATCTGTAGGGTTCGTCATCATGATAATATTGATTATGTTCTTTATTCTTTATTCTCTTTCTTAAATTGTCCATCTTTTCATAAAGCTGCTTAATTCTTGTATCTGTTTTCTGTTTCCTTGTACTTTTTGTTTGCTTATTGTAATTAATAATTCATCATCGAAACACACTGGGATTATAAGTTTCGTGAGCGTATCCTCAAATTTGTCCATTATGTGTATCGCTCAGAAAGTTAAAATACAAAACTACACATTCAATTCAATATCTCTCGTTTTTTAACTTTTTTTATTCTTTAAGTACTATATATGTTTTATATCTATCGGAATATTTCGTCCAACTATTTTTTTCTCTACAAACTGAATAATCTATCATTTGTGTTATATCCAATTTTCTTCTACAAACTAAATAAAATCGTAAGTATGTCACAAAAAATGTTTACATTAATTTATCAGCAAAAGTTTCCTGTATCGGATCAAATTGGCCTTTATGCGCGACATCAGCTGTGAAATGGTCAAAACAGACAACGACCCATTCCGGCGTGCGTATCTGTCCTATTTTAATTTATTTATCTTTCAAATTCATGAAAGTATCTCAGTTTCTAACTTATAATATGCCTACAACATCTATTAGTCCATTTAATATATTTTGAAGAAGATCTATCAGATTTATTTTGAACTTCTACAATATTAAAATTGCAGTTTAAAATTGCTCTGTAGTGGCGGCTATTTAATGCTTTTAGGCTCTGGCATTCTGGGACGAATTTCCTTTTGTATTATTTTAATATTTTTTAAGAATCATATTATTTTAATAGGCTTTGTAAATTTTTTATATTATGTTTTAGTCTAAATTTAATGCATAGAAACTCTCCCTGCACGGTTTTAATGCTAGTTTTCACAGTGAAGGATTTCAAAATATACCCTATAATATTAAAAATTTATGCAACAAAGTAATCCGATCATACATCAAATCATAGCCTTAGTTATGTGTTGATATGTTTGTACGATAGAAATATGGCGGTGACTTGAGAAAGTCTTCTTCCGCACAACGTAAGATAAGGATGGAGCGGAAGATGGGGATGGAGGTTGAGGATGAAATAAGTGCAGACACATCTAACATAGAAAATATCAGAAATGGCAGTTTCTCCAAATAGTTTGGAGTTCCTGTGTCGTTGTTGTTAGCTCCAAGAATGGTGAATGCAGCAGAAAATACTCCAATAGCAATAAGTGTTGAAACTACCATGCAAGGGTTTGCAGTTGCCTTCATCCAAGACTCTTCTTCTTTTAGCAATTTTGTGTGTTCTTTGGTGAATAATTCGCTAGTTGTCGCACCTCAAAAATAGAGGGTGACTGGCATAAGTGTGAACCATTCACACATTCTCATAAGCCTCAAAATAAACATTTATTCTATTTTACAAAAAAAACAAAATTTAATCAAATCACATAAGAATTAAAATAAATCCTTTAAACTCATTATCATAAGAAAGTGTCGACGCTTTTGTAGAAATTTCGACAGAACCTCCCCTATAACTAGGATCTCCCGAAAATTCTACAACAAAATTTTTTTTTACAAATAATAGTATAAATTAGGAGTGTAGCTCCTTCCAGGCAGCAACCAATATACAGACTAAAAATAAGGTTTATCAACAACCTATGTGAAGCATATACTCTTTCTTTCAAATAAAAAAGACATACAAATTATATATTTACCTTAAAGCAACAATACCAATCAAAATGTCCACCCACTATAACTAGTTGCCCTTTTGAGGTTGATGGTGGGATCAACGTCAACTAACAAGTCTGAGACCCAAATAATTTTTTCAGTGAATAGCATTCCCATGGTAAAATTCTTAGAATTTAAATCAATAAACTTCAATAATGGTATCAACTAATTAAAAATGATTCCACAAAGATTTGCAAGCCTATAAGTTATATCCATAATTGTAAAATAAGAATAAATTGAAAACAATTTATGTTATCATGCTTAAAAAAAAAACAATTTACTCACATATTCCTTAAAGTAGTAAAATTGTTAGCCAAAATCATATAAATTTTAAAAAACACTTTAATCAACATTTAGAATTTTAAAAACTCAATAGAACAGATTACAAATGTGAACACACAGTTCGTGAGGGTAAATAACCAAACGCGGCTTGTGCTATGAAAATAAATGTGGACACACCAGTTCACGAGAGTAAGTAACCAAATGCAGCCGAAGTTACGAAACAAACGTGGATACACATTCCATGAGAGTAAATAACCAAACGTGACTCAGGCCACAAAATCAAACGCAGGTACTAAGCCCACGAATACCAAATGTGAGAATAAAACTTACGAAACAAACTAGCTAGTGTTTAACCACAGCGCGCTACGGGCTAACAGAACTGCCGTTAGCAGCATTGTTCTATTTTGAGTTCTCTTAAAATCACACTTCAAACATGTGAGAAAGACAATTATCATTGAAATAAATTATCATTCTTACTATCAAACTCACATGAACTGTTTCAAATCTTAATATTTGTCAGAATCATAAACTTACATTAATTAAGTATCTAATAAATTTCAAAGTTTAACAACCGTACAAAAATGCTTTCATCCATCTTGCAAATATATTTTCAAGAATCAATAAATGCACATATCATAACTCATTTGTCCTTCATTGATATTTCATAATTTTCAAAATTAATATAATTCATAAGAATAAAATATTTCAAGAAAAAGGCTATCAAAAATAAAAATAAATTAAATAGAATGCTATTCACTTACTCATTAGAACTTCAAATTCTCAAAGATATCCCTACCTTTAATTCTGGTAAGGGTCTCATTCTTCCTCATACCCTATAAGGATATAATTAAATAATTTTTTTTTCAACACGATTCAAAATCAACCATTATCATTTGAAATTCCAAACCAATATCATTCTTAGAGTTGATCCAATCTTTATCATTAATATCCCTAATATCTACCAATTTGTTTTAGTCAAAACATTCCATTCATAATGCAATAGCTCCCATATTAACATATTACTCCCACCAATCATGATATCGAATACTTATGAGCATAATTACCAAACCAAGATTAGTCTCTCTTTCTAGATTTCAGCATCCTTAAACACTCACAACATTGATAATCTGATTAATTCCAAATAGCATTCTAGGCTACAATAACATCTCCTTCCTCACATGCATGTATGGTTAATAGGGGAGATGATTGGTTTTTTTTCCTAAACTTCAACCCTCAAATCACGTATATACATATATCATTACCAAGTTCAGATGGGTTTCAAGCTTATTTAACTTAATTTATTCATTTTCTCACTACACAGCACAATAGTGACAAAACCAGAACACGCTAACCTTTTGAAATCTCATGCACACGCAGCAGCAGCAGATAACTACACTCACAAGCATAGCTAAGTCAATAATAAAAGGATTGAAGCTCCTCACCTCAACCCAATTACGCTGTATAGTGGCAGACAACCAAAGAGAAGGAAAAGAAAATATGGAACGCCAAACAGAGGAGATAAAGCTCGGTGATCGACCCTCAACCAGCGAGCCTAATTTCACGTGTTTTTCTTCCCATGGACAGACTTAGATTGCCACATCACGAGTAAGAAGAACAAGAAGCATTTTAGCTTGTATCCATGAAAACGAGCAGAGAAGAAAAATGGCTAAACAAGGAGAAACTCACGACAGTAGCGGTGGTGACTGGCATAAACGGCTGCAACTCTTGGTTGAGAAAGAAGAAGATAGTGATTCGATGGTAATAGAGCATAAGTTCGGTGTAGTTTCGCAGCTCTCTCTCTCTCTCGTCCCACCTGGCACTCGAAGAAACAGAGCCAAAAACAAAGAGGAAAACAGAGACAAGAAGCATGGGTAGATCAACCCAGCGCAGCCCAAGCTCCACTCTGGCTGGCGACCATTGAGAATATGAAGGAGAAGATTAGTCGGTGACCACTGCAGAACGAAGAGCAAGAATCGGTATAAGCTTCCAGATTTCTCTACCTTTTTCTCATACTCTGTAAAACTGACTTGGGTAAGAGAGAGAAGAAAGAAAATATATTTGATGGAGCTAGGGTATTCTGGTAATTTCAGAGGAGCTAAACAAAATAAAAATTTCATTTCTTACACCGGAAATTCAAACCTGGGACCTTCAATTACTCTAACATGCATGCTTCCACTCTACCAACACTTCTCCTCACTTAACATGTTCCCAAATTAATATAACTACTATTACATACCAACTTATAAATATATACTTATTATTGTTATTATTATTATGGGCTATTACACTAGAAGTCAGGCCTTCAGAGTTTTTCATCTCGATCAATGATGGTTGCACTATCTTCTTCACCTCCTGCCACGTCAAACCATGAATTTATTATGCCACATACATATAGAAAATGAAAGAAGCTTGAGCTTTTATGCACAGGCTATGGAGTTAAGGCGAATATATATATATATATATATATGTATGTATGTATATATCTCAAACCATAACAGCTCAAGCATCGTCGGACAAGCTACTCCTGAAAGCAGGTCAAGTCGGTCTGGTGGTGCTAATTTTTCAGCAAAATGCAATAAATTGCATTTATCATTACTATCCAGGGAAGAAACTATGGAATCCTTGTTTGGACCAGTTTCATGAATGAGATTGAAGATACTGGCATGACGATGCAAGACAGCAATGTGAATTATACTTCGGTTTCTGCAAACAAAAATGAGAGAGAAGCAATAAAGAGAATTTGAGTGAGGATGACGTTCTTGTCTTATTCATCTCAGATTACATACTCTTCCAATATCGATAAAGATAAGTAAAAGTGAACTAATGAGAGACTGCCAGCGCATACACACGTAAATAACAGATTAACAATAATACAACTAATCAATCCTAACTAAAATTATCAAGCCCACATGTTGCATAACAATTTCAACTGCACTTTTAAAATTTAGAACATATGGACGTGACTTTGGGCTTTGTTCTGGACGTCGACCAATCCACTTGATCTTTGTCTATTAATTTATCATCAACTATCCCTTTCCATCATGAAATGATGAAATCAGGGTCAGAGCCCAAAAGCTCTCCTAGAAACTCAAAAATTTCCAACTTCTACAGCATCGAATATAACTTGTAAAGGTTCCCTTATGACTTTCATCATGCTCAACTCATCTAGAAGAAGAATTTCTTTCCAAATTTTCTTAACAAGCTCAATGACCAGATTTTGGTTCACACTTGGAATTAATCATGTGATGAAAAAGTAAGACAACGAAAAACTCATCTTAGAAAACCAATACCAGAAAGTATATATATTGTATTGATAGCATTTAAACTATTACCAAGCTTTCGCTTCACACTTCAAACTTCTAAGTTGAGTTTGCTATTAGCATATTACGGGTAATCAGTTAAGCAGTCTACAGTTTAATCCTTGCCACCTCCTTGCATTAAAGTGTGGTGGAGCTGTATCCACACTCATTCTTAAAGTAATATTCAAATGAAGGGCGAATTAAAGATTGCAATATAGCTATAGATGAACTTACAGAAAGACTGCCACATTGTAGCTAGATGTTTTGAGTTGAATTGGTCCTTGACAATCTATTCCTAGTCTTACCCTTGGATGAATACATTTAACTACGTATAGGATGCTTAGAGTCCTTTTGCTTTTAACATTAGATTCAGCCTACGCTTGCCATAATGAAGATAAGAATGAGCAAGAACAGTTTTCTTCCTGAGTAACAAGACATGTCATTTCACAAATCATTATTTGTTAAATTATTAATGGAGACTTGTTAAAAAAAAATTAACATGAAATGATTTTTATAAATATTTACTTGTCTTTAATACCAAAATTTTACATGTTAAAAAGTTTATATGAACTTGTTATTTTATTAAAATTTGCTTATTAAAGTATTAGGAAAAATTTTCCAAGCTAGTAATAAAACTTTTCATTTCATAAATAGTTACTTGTTAAATTATTAATGGGAATTTGTTTGTCAAATTATAAAGAGAGATTTTCAAAACTGATAACATGACTTGTCATTTTACAAATAATTATTTATTGAATTATGAATGAGGACTTGTCATTCTTGGTAATAAAAACAAGTAAACATTTATAAAAATCAGTGCATATAAATTTTTTTAACAGGTCCCATAATTTAACAAGTAGTCATTTGTAAAATGATAAATAACTATTAAACTTCTAATAATTGGCATGAAAAGTGAAAAAAAAGTTTAAAATATAAAGATTTACATTATAAAATTGAAAGGAATTTTTAGCCGATCTTGGTGGTTCAAACTCCCTTGGCCGCCTTACAAAAATTTAATTTGCCTCCCTCATCTCTCTGGTGGCTAGTCCGGCGGGGTGATCCAGCGACCGATGATAGTGAGGAGGTTCTTTTAATGAGGGTTAGTTTTGTCATTTCACACTAAGATTTAATTACATTTTGATCTCTCCATCATGCAAAGTTAATTTAGAATCATTTAGTCCTTTTATGTAAATAAAATCCTCCAGAGGTCCTTCACTGTAATTGTCCCTAAAAAGAATCAGAGGAAGTACATGGATACGCATAAATTTTGACAGAGGGAGGAAATAAAAAAAAAAAAAAAACCAATCTTCCTGAATTGGTCGTGCCCCCAAAAAAAAAAAAGGTTGCTTCATGATTGATTAGATGGTCAGATATTTAGGACTTGTTTGTTTTTTGTTTTTAAAAATTATTTTTTATTTTTGAAAACAAAAAATTTTAAATTTTTGCTTGGATAAGTGTTTTTCATTTAGGTGTTTTCAAATTTTTCATTTTTTAAAAAATAGAAAACAACTTTAAGTTGTTTCCATTTTATTTTTCTTCTTTTTGAAATACACTGCTTTTGATTATTAAAAATTATAGTTATCACAATCAATTTCTATTATTAATCAGTCTATTTTTTAATTCTAAAATTGTTTTTAAATTGATACAACCAAACAGATTTTTATTTTATTTTTTTTACAAATAATTTTGAAAACTGTGTTACAAAACAATTTTTAAAAACAAAAAATAAGAATAGAAACTAAACAGGCCCTTGATGATTGATTCATGCTCTACGTTTTGAAAGAAGCAAATTACTGGAAAAGTAGCTAATTAAGGAAATTTGCTGAGAAATAAATGTTCATAATAGAATGCCCCCTCTTATTCCTTGTATAAGATATTTCAAACATTTTTCACGCAGATTAAAAAAATGGTTAGATTACTTTATTTGTTAAAAGCATTTCAATTTTGCAATTATACGCTTATTAATTAAAAGGAGCCCTATCAAATCTCGTTCTAATTACAAGAAAACTATTAATATTATAAGGATGAACATAGAATGCTATTTAATATTGTTGACATCTTATAATTTGGATTAACTTTTATTAAGAAAAAAACATCTTTTGTATAAGGGACTGGTGGAACCACCAACGCCAGATTAGGGCTCAAGCAGTGAAAATCTTTTTCCGTGGTGCAAATATATATGAGGCGTTAATTACACATTAATTCTATTAATCCTGTTTTGTTAGGAATGTATAATTTAATTTCGACGAACATTCTTCAAATACATGAACGCTGAATGCTTATGACATTACCATTCATTCATGAATAGTTCTGAAGCAATTCAAAGCCGTGATATTTACACTTAAAATGCAAACATGAATTATATATTTATTATTGTTAATGATTGGGAAAATTTAATTAAGCGCTGCTAGCAAGGGAAAGAATTTGACAAGTTTTAGCTCTAAATAGACAACAAAAAAATATAAGGAAATTAATTGAGATTTATTCAACTTTCAAATAGAAAAACTAATTTTACAATGATGTGAGGTTTCAGTTTATTATCACAATACGCTGTACATTTGTCATGGAATCCACTTGAATATTTAAATAAAGCACATTAAATTTCACCTATAAATGCAATGAAGCATCTTGCGAGGTGCAATTCAATACCACAAAAAAAATAATTCAGAAATTTGATTTAAATTTCCGATAAAGAGTCAAAGATTGAGGTTGAATTTCATGTTAAACGAAATAAATTAATTCCGTGTACATGGGAGAGAATATGAAACAGAAGAAGGAAGTCACTTTGGTTAAAATAATGACGTATGTCGTATATACATGGTCAATATATGCTCATAATCTTAATCTCATTTAATTACACGGTGAGAAGATATATACTCAAGACCACCCACATTCATAATCTTAATCTCATTTAATTCCAACACTCAAACCTCCCTATGATACACATGTCAAGAATTAAGCCTTTTCTTTTCCTGCTAGTTTCGTTTGGGTAAAATACATGTTAGATTTCTTATATATATTAAGAATGCTTAGAGATATTATTATATTCTACCAAAATAGCTTAAGTCATTTGGTTAGATATTTTCTAAGCTTATTCATTTATGATATATCTTTTAATTTTTAAATGTGAGACTTTTTTTTTGTTCTAATATTCCTTTCCTTACTTTTTTCCTCTCTTTTTTTCAGTTTTTTCTTCTTCTTGTTGGGCTTGTATTTTTTTAAGTCTTATGCGCCTTAGGTCTATTGAATTTCTTCTCTTTCTCTCTTTTTTAACCTCTTGTATTTTTCATCTTTCATTCTTTCATTTTTTTTCTTTTGTTCCTCTTCTTTTATTGTTTTTTTTGTACCCAATCGAATAGCTCTAACACTATATTAGATTTCTTATATTAAGTATGTTTAAGGAATATAAAGCCTTTTTGATGCAATGAAAAATAGTAAGGCCAAGTGTATATGACATATGTGCGGGTGTGAAGAGTTATCAAGTTAGTTAATAAATGACTTTCTTGTGACCTTGGATACACGCTGCGTTTTCAAAGTTCAATTCCATGGCAAGTTCAGAGCGTAAATTTCCTTAACAATCACTTGGTAATTACTTGAACAAATTCGCATCACCATACAATACCTTGACACTAGCTTAGTATAAATATACACGAATCTCATTCCTCTAGCTTCACAGCGAACCCTAACTCGATCTCTCATTATCAAATCATAAGCCATCTTCTCTCTGCTTAATTAACCGAACCCTAACTCTTGAAGAAGGTGCAGCATGTCGAGTCCTTCAGGCGACACTCCTCAGACTCAAAGTCCTAATATCAAGACTCCCACACCACTCCCTACAAACAAGGGTGTCTTCTCCGCCAGTCACCATAGTGACGCTCGTCTCATTTCATTTATTCATTTTCTGCTTACTATATACATTTACTCATTTCTTTTATACTTATCAATCATTTTTCATTTTATTTTGTCTTATCAACCACCTCCTCGGACACAGTCTAATAACCCTCGAACATCTACTGGGACTACAATTATTACCACTCAGGGTACCTTTTCCACCAGTCGTTGATCATGATTCATTCCATATCTTTATCAGGTTATTATTTGATCTTTTTACTTACTTTAATCTAATTCACCTCTTTCATCTTTAAACTCTTAATACCGGCCCATACTCCACCTGTGTTTAATTTGTTATCATCATCAAGCTATTTAAACTCTTCAACTTTCAACCGATTTAGCAAATTAATGCTGGCTTATATTCTGTAATTTCTGTCCCTTCTTATTTCTCTTTAATTTGTGTTATTATTATACTGCTCATCCTATTCTATATTGTTTTTGATACAGATTGTGATGAACCTCGGTGCCCTTGGTATTGGAATAAAGGAAGAATTAAATAAAACTTAGTTGTTCATTTTCTTTGTTCGTTTTATTGGGTCCATATATCTAGGACAAATGTATTCTGGTCTGTTAGTTTACCAAAAATAATATCAGTAGATTTGTTCAATTTCCTTGTTTGGTTTTATGTCTAGGTTTTGTAAGTCCATATCCATGTGTATTTTAAATACACATATATGTAATTAATGTTGATATATGGGCTCGGACTCGTTTCAGTTGATTTTAAAAAGCATGCAGATCAATTGCACCTACAATTTATAAATTTAATGAAGCATCCAGCGCGAGACATGATTCAGTAATTTTTTCCCCCTTAGACTTTTGATATAGATAGAATATTGGAGAATGGCAGGATAAACAATAAAGAGAGAAAGAAAAAGAAAAGTTGATCAAATCAATTTAAAATATGATAAGAAAGTTTTGCATTAATATTCTAACGTTTCACCCTTCAATTTTTTTTTAAATCATCATTATCATCATGCCAAAAAAAATCACTTAAAGTTGTTGGGGAAATAAGATTGAGTCTGTAAATTTGCTCTATCCAAGCTTAATTAATTCAATTAAAGTTACGTTGGAGAGCGTTTCAAAAATATGTTACGATGGGGAAAAATCTCTATAAAATTTAGAAAGAAAGTGAGAGAGGTGCCAAAAAAATTACCAAACAAAAAACAGAAAAAAAAAAATGAAGATCACACACACCCACTGCAAAGTTTCTACGTAAATGATCACCCGCAGGTTACTTGCAACGTAAGATATGTAATGTGCTTATCTCTTGCATAGTGAC